TTCGACCGAACACAAAAAAGAGACGAACCATGTATATACATCTGTATGTATAGAAAATATTTAGGGTTTCAATTATATGAGCTAGCAAAAGCAAACACGATTTTGAGCCCACCGATTTTGTAAATATTCAATGGCATTCCACCGTAATTTTGAGANTCATTAAGGNTATTTTCNGGAGACCAAGTTTGAGAGTGNCTNTCGATGTGCCACATAGGATTTTCGACTTCGCAAATATTAGTATACATAGATTCAGGCGAAATCTTCTAATATTAATTCAAAAAATTTAAAAGAACTTCTTTCTTTTTTATCTTCCAACGAAGTATAAAACTCTTTAAACTCACACATTAAAAAAACTTAACTATAAATAAACCCTCTAGATATTGTGTTCTTGTCTACTCTACTCAAATTATGCCTATAAATAAGATTATCCAGTCCTTAATAATCCTCCATTGAAAGTCATTAGCGTTTGAGTCCAAATTTCGTCTTTTTAACAGGTTTTATTAATTTTTTTCCCTTTTTTATTTCTTCGTTTTAAGCTTTAATTAAAAAAAGATTATCTTCTCCACTTTTAGTTAAACGTCTTCGTCTTCTTCATCGAGAAAGCTTTGTTTCTCTGTATATATGTATTTGAGATAGTAGAAATGGTGTTTTTGATTTGTCTTCGTTGTGCATTTTGTGATAAGGATTAGGTTTGAGAAATCAGATATGGTGTTCAAGAAGCTCTTCTTCTCTTTGAAGAAATCGAGATCTTCTGATAGCTCTAACAGTCCTCGATCAGTTGGTTCTAACTCTCCGGTCGAGTCCGATAAGAAGAAATCGAAATCGGATTCCAAAGAGGAAACTCGGAGCCCTAATCGGAGCCTCAGTTTCCGACTCTGTCTAAAGACGAAGACGAAGGATGATTCATCAAAGGGCAAAGACGCGTCATCGTCTCAAGTTCAATGTCCTAATCCCGGAAAATCGAACTTGTCATCTTCCGGTGATGAAACGCCTCTTCTGACGTCGGAGGTGAAGGAGGAACCGACTATCCTTGCCTCATTTCTGGGTTTGAATCGAAACAAGACGAGATCCACCCCGTTGCCACAGGAAGGTACTGGTTCGGACTTAGGCTCGGGTTTGGCGACCTCTGGTTCGGTTAGTGGCATTGCGAAGAAGGAAGAAGGAAGTAGCAGCCCCGCATTGCTGGGAACTGGTATGGCTTCTAATGATGTGTGATTCTGCAACTTATTGCGGAACTGTTGTTTTAGGCACTTGTTGATGTTTCAGTTCTTGGTTCTCTAAGTTTGATTTTTGATGTTACTAAGCAGGTCAATTCAAGGTATCGCCAAGCTACTCTGGTCCTGTAGGAAGGTCAGAATTTTGCACACCAAAGGTATTCCTTTCTCCTTAACATTGTAAAAAAAAAAAAAGAGTATGGGATTTGTATGTATCAGTTCTAAGTGATCTTGGTGACTTATCTTGTTAGAATTGGTATGAATTGGAAAATCCAAGAAAGAGGTTTCATGGTGACATCAAGAGCTTTTCTCATGAGTTGAACTCAAAAGGCGTACGATCTTTTCCATTATGGAAGCCTCGCGGGTTACATAACGTGGAGGTAGTGTTGAGGCTATTCGCTTTTATATTAATTTCATTTGGATTTTGTTCGATTCATGCTTTAATCATCTGTCCTTTTCAGGAAATCTTGATTCTAATACGGACCAAATTTGATAAAGAAAAGGAAGAAGTTAATTCGGACCTTGCAACTTTTGCTTGGGACCTGGTGGGCTTTCTAAACAGTCATCATGAGTTACAGTTACAAATTGAAGACTTGCTGCTTTTGGCACGGAAATGTGTTGAGACTACTCCGGGAGAGTTTTGGTTTCATTGTGAGCACATTGTTCAAAAGTTAGATGATAGACGTCAAGATCTTTCCCCTGGGCTGCTCAAGCAGCTTCACACTCGGATGCTTTTTATCCTTACCAGATGTACTAGATTACTTCAGTTATATAATGAAAATTGGGAGCAGGAGGTCGTACAATTACGTCAGTCAAGAGTCTTGCATTCTGCGGATAAAAGAGTCTGCACTGGAGAAGTTAGGGACTGGATGGTTTGGAAAAGATTTTCATCTCCAGCGTCGAAGGGTGTGAAAGAATCTGCAGTATCAAAAGAGCAGAATGATAGCAAAGTTGAGCCTCCAAAGGTAATAATTCCATTTGAGGAAATATCAATTCTGTGTCGTATATGCGAGGAGGAAGTTTGCACCACCTACGTGGAAGATCACTCTAGAATATGTGCATTGGCAGATAAATATGACAAAAAAAGTGTGAGTGTTGATGAGCGGCTGGTGGCACTTGCTGTAACTCTTGACAAGATAATAGAGTTCGTACAGAATAATAGCCTAGCAGCGGTAGAAAGCCCAGATGGTATGAAAATATCTAACGCGAGCTTGACCGAAGAATCTGATATTCTCTCCCCAAAGGCAAAGCGAAGGGATTGGTCGCGAAGGGTGTCTGAGGACATGCTTGACTGTTTTCTGGAAGCTGATAATTCAGCTTTCATGGATGATATACGATGTCGAACTTCAGTGTCATGCAGAACTCGTTTTGGTCTCAAGTCTGATCAAGGCATGACTACTTCACCTGCCGGTCGCATGACTCCTAGATCCCCTATTCCAACCCCTAAACCCGATCTAATTGAATTGTTATTAGGAGGCAGGGTTGCACTCCATGACCAGGATGATATTCCTCAGGTTTGTGATGGTTCTTCTCTATGTTGATATCCTCCTTTTGTTATTGAATATGAGCGCTGACGGATAAAACCCTGAAAAACTGATGATACAGATGAGTGAACTTGCTGTCATTGCAATATGCGCAGCAAGTGTCAATCCAGATGGTGATCATTCCACTGAGCTCTTACTATCTTGTCTCCAAGACTTAAAGGTTGTCATAAAGAGCAGAAAGTTTGATGCGCTAATAGTAGAAACTTTTGGGAAACGCATAGAAAATTTTATCATGTGAGTTCCTGATACTACTTTTATCTTAATTATACTTTTGTATCTCTCCCCGTGATGTCTTTACTTGCAATGCAAGTGTTCAGATCTATTATGCTCTCCAGCTCTTGTCAGTTGAGGCAAGAATAGCTTACGGTGGGAATGTATTCCACGAATACTTTTCTTTATTATGTAGGAAAAAGTATCTTCAGCTGTGCAAGATTTTGGGTGATCAAAAAGTTGACCTATCAAGCACCGTAATTGATGAAGATGCTCCTTTAGAGGATGACGTTGTTCGTAGCTTGAGGAAAAGCCCAGTACATCCGCGGGACCGCACATCCATAGAGGATTTTGAGATCATAAAAGAAATTAGTAGGGGAGCTTTTGGGCGAGTTTGTTTGGCTAAAAAAAGAATGACAGGAGACATATTTGCAATTAAGGTGTTCTAAATTTCAGTTCGTATTGCTTCTATTACGCTTATGAAAGATTCTGTCTGTGACGTTTGGCTGACTTGGTTGGCAAAATCAGTCAAAATGTTTCCTTATATCTTGTTTTTGGGGGATGCCATACTCGTAGGTTCTGAAGAAGGCAGATATGATCCGCAAGAATGCTGTTAAAAGTATACTTGCTGAACGAGATATTTTGATCAACGTCCGCAATCCCTTTGTGGTGATCTGTTCTAGCCTTTTCATTATATTTTTTCCTCTACAGAGATTTCTTTATTTCGAACGGTTCTGTCTTTTGACCAGGTTCGATTCTTCTATTCTTTTACCTGTCCCAAAAAGCTGTATCTTGTGATGGAATACTTAAATGGAGGGGATTTTTATTCACTATTAAGAAAACTTGGTAGCTTAGATGAAAGTATTGCCTGCGTATATATTGCCGAAATTGTAAGTGTGTTATACTTTCATATATCATGCCATAATAACAAGAGTATTTTATAAAGATACTGTGATTAACTGTCGATTATTCGTGTTAGGTCCTTGCTTTGGAATATTTACATTGAGAGGGTGTTGTGCATCGTGATTTGAAGCCTGACAATTTGTTGATTTCACATGATGGTCATGTTAAGGTAATAACCATTTGAGAACTTATATTCATCATTAATAGGCCTTCAAAATGTTTTGTTGATGTCATGCAATGTGATGATCTGGAGATTATAGTCTTTTGTTATCTGAAGCTCATAAAACACACACGGATAAATAGCCTCTGCATTTATAAGACTGTAAATATAATACATCGATAAGTTATTAGAACCATGCTTCTCTGTTTACCTTATGTTACCTTTTTGTTTCATGTGAGCAGTTGACAGATTTTGGGCTCTCAAAGGTCGGTCTCATCAACAGCACCGATGATCTCTCTGGTCCAGTTTTGAGTGGAACGTCTCTGCTTGTTGAGGAGAAACCAAAATTACCAGCATCGGAGCATCAACTTGAACAGCAAGATAAGCAGTCTGCAGTGGGCACTCCTGACTACTTGGCACCTGAAATTCTTTTGGGGACAGAACATGGTACATAATACTTCTTTTTAATCTTGTTGTCCGCTTTTCTCTATTATTTCAAATCTTACTTTTGAGTAGAAATCGGTGTTGTATTAAGATAAAATGAGATTCTTTATCTGAATAACAAGATGTGTGGTATATCAAGTTGGTCACAGCTCTACTATTCTGGTGGTGTTAGTAGAAAACTTGGATATATCGCATATTCGCTACATTAGGTCACTCGGATTCATACCAGATTGTTACTATGCTGCATGTCCGACAGAAAGTTTCAGATATTTAATTTTGTTTATCACATACCCAGACTGTAAAAATTGACATATTTCCATAATTGTTCAGGTGCAGCTGTGGATTGGTGGTCTGTTGGCATCATTTTGTTTGAACTCATTGTGGGGATTCCACCCTTCAACGCTGATCATCCTCAGGTCAGTGACTAGAGGTTTCTCAAGGTTCTAGAAACTGACGTTTTAACTTTGGCTGGTCATCAGATGCCATGTTTTTCTAACATTTTCATTTAACATCTTCATATGCCGCTACAGAGTATTTTTATATCTAAGTTTCACTCTCCAACTCCTTGATAGTTGATCTGCATTTTCTTTGTTGGTATGTAGGAAATATTTGAAAATATTCTCAACCGTAATATACCATGGCCTCGTGTTCCAGAGGATATGAGCCCTGAAGCCCGTGATTTGATAGATCGGTAAGTATTTTTTTTTCCCTCTGCCCAACCATCTGCGTAGTGAAAACAGCCCTTTCAAAAATTGTCGGCGGCTCTGTTATAAACATCAATTAGGAACCCTTTTCTCCTTGTGTTGTATTCAAGTCATTTAT